TATATATATATATATATATATTCAACTAGATGACTAAGCAAGCTTAGATGCTGAACTTTTTCCAATGCGTCACACGGACTGGTGCTATCCCAGAGACGTAATACCAACTTTCACGCACGCCTGCGCTTCACGTACAGACATGCGGAAATTTTGGCAGAAAATCACGGACTCGGGAACCAGCGGAGTTAGGAAATCTAAAGTTTAGGATGATTTTTTCTGTCCATTTGCGATTCAAATATCTCAAATTTAGCTGCTGAGTGCGCCTGGTTTTCACATATAGGCAGATGAAAGTCTTGGCGGGAAAAACTGATAACTCGGGAACTGGGAAAGCTGGGGGGATAAACCGATACAAAGCGTATTACTGGCATTAAACATACTTGGTTTGCATGCAAAACAAACCTGCTTTAATCAAAAATCGTACCTGAGTCATAATTGAGTCGCGTTTGGATTAATAATTCAGCCGTGCTGTAATAACAAAAAATTTCTAAAGCAAAACTGTCATTCATTAAAAGAGCAGCCTGATTAGCTGGCCACATAAACACATTATCGCAGCACTCCCTGAATTAGATTTTGCTTCCTGCGACTCGCTGACAGCCAGAGTAAGCTGCTGTAGAGAGATTTGCGCAGTTCGGTTTTCGAAATCATTCCCATTGCAAAACGTTCTGAAAGAGCGGAACGAATTTTCACTTTTAAAATTTACCGTTTCCTCCTATCTACCACTTTTTTCAGTTCATGTATTTTTGCATATGTGCGGATGGAAGAATTGCATCCGGGGCTACACCACTGTGAGACCTCACCTTTGCAAGCATCCTGATTTACAGTTTACGTGATGGTCTCCTTTTGCAGGCATCCAGGTTTGCAGATTACTCTTTGTTCACCCGATGAGCGCTTCATATCAGAAGGGCGGCGTCAAATTACCGGTTTTGATCGTTTCACATGGACAATTTCGAACAAAAGCCTTGATGAGGTGACTTTTTTGTGCACTGAAATTGGTTGTATTGATTTTGCTTGTTATACGTTTTTGCATATTTATGCAAATGCGAAAACGCATATTATGACGGCTCGTCTGTGTTTGTTCGGGAATTTCAGTTTGATAATCAGGCAAGTTTTGGTGCTGGAATTTTGCCAGCAGTTTTCTTGGCCAACTGCTATCTCAGGAACATGATTTCAACTTTCGTGCACGTTTGGATGTCACGTACCGACACGTGAAAGTTTTGATGAAGAAATTGTTGATTGGGGAGCCAGAAAAGCTGGAAAGCTGAAATTTCGAAGGGATGTCCCTTCATTCACGCACGCTCTAAAGACTTCAATTTTAGTTCCTAATTAAGCTTGCTTCTTAACTATAGGCACACGAAAATTTTTTGTGGTTTCATAATCCTTCTCGCCCCACATCCTGCTCGTTAGTTGTTATTGGTCACAGATTGGTACCAGTCTGTGACCGATAACAGTTAATTTTCAATATACGTCCAATAACAACTATTTTTCATTCCTCTTCATACAGAATTTACAGTAATCATGTATGCTGGAGATTAAAGCTTCACACGACTGCTGCACCAGCCGACGTCCTTTTCCTTTACATGTCAGAAAAGATCGCAACATTTCCAGCATGAGTGCAAATGTTAAACTCCCTAGAGTCTTTTACGAACTGAATATCTCTTTCTCTTTGCCATTATGGCTTCATCTTTACGCGTCTTGTACTGTAACAGTTGCACCAAACGCACATTGTCGAGATCCTGTCTGTGTATGTGTGTGTTCCGAGTGCATTTTATCCGGTATTTTCAAATCGGGAACCAGAGAAGCTAGGAAGCTAAAATTTCAGTAGAATGTGACTGCGTGAAAGTTTTGGCGAAGAAATTATTGTTTGGGGAACCGCGGGATTTAAAATTTATTAGGGTATCTCACGTTTACATATAGCCTCTTAAATTTAAATTTAGTCTTTACGTGCTCCTGTGTACCACGTGTGGCCTCGCGAAAATTTCGGCGGGGAAATTATTACCTCAGTAACCAAGGAAGCCAGGGGACTGAAATTTTGGGGTAATGCCCCCTGCCCACATATAACCTCAGCGAATTCGAATTGAGCTTGAGTCCAGCGCACGGTTCCGTGGAAGTTTCGGTAGGAGAAATTATTACTCGGGGGCGCGAAGAGTTGAGAGGAGGATGTTCTCTGCTTATGAAGGGGCCTAACAAAATCAAACTCAGCTCCCGAGTATGAAGAGGTCTCAGATACTACCTGTGAAACCTTTGACTGGAAAGTTACTCGGAAGCCAGAGAACTGGGAAGTCGAAATTTTGAAACAGTAGGGATTACTCAGCAATTCCCTCAACAGAAATGCTTTGATATTGCTTTAGCTGTTTCAAGATGCCATTAGTTTGTGTTGAGCATTGGCGTCTTCTGAAACTGTTATTCGTAGATCGTGATATTTGTCTCTTATGGTGCTGGGCTGTAATTTGTGTCTTATGTGTTTTATTTTGCGGAGAATTTGATAAGATTACGTTGAAATGCAAGCATTTTGGCCTGGCACGTTAGGACGTGCGAATACGTTGCGGTCAGTTGTTCTTGAAGCGACATCGCAGTCTTTCAGATAACTGCTGCAAATTGTAAGAACTTAGTGTATATGAGTCCAGATTCACAGCTGGATGCCTTAACGGATGTTGTTGCTAATAAAGTGTACATCATCGGAGGCCTTGTGGATGAAACTGGTGTTGGCTCACTGTCACGACATCAAGCCGGTTTGTTGATTTTCCAACATTTTGAGGCAAAAATTGGTTCTCACCAGTTGGGAGGGAGAGGCAAATAGAAACCACTGTGACCTGAAAAATTTGACCCTCGGCAGGTAAGGTTTGCGATTTATTGAAAAATTTTTACATTATCGTGCGGTGCTAGAAAAAAGACCTTTTTTGATATCGTGATGCAATTTACGGACTTGTGGAATGGGAGGTCCGGAAAGTCTAGCATTTTCAGGGAAATTTTGAATGCTTACTGTTTACTGATTAATTTTTTTTTTTTAATGTTTGTATTAAAATTACTTTGAGCAGCTAAAAGTGAAGCTCAAGAATCAGGGTACCGAGCATAGAGAGCTTCCGTTACACGGAGTAATTAGCGAGATAAAACTACTCAAATTCTGATGGAGGTTTGCTAAACATTGAGCATGGTCAAAAACGAGCGGTACTGTTTGAAACGAGAGGTTTTTATGCGTTTTGTGCTGTGTAACAGCAATACAAAACGCATATTGTCACGGGGTTGTCTGTATGTGTGTTTGTGTGTGTTCGCAGCAACTTGTCCGCAGCTTTCAACACGGGAACCACAAAAGCTTGGAAGCTGAAAATTTGGGGTAACGTTCCCCACCCATGTTCGACGCCGCAAACATAAATTCAGCCTCCCCGTACCCGCAAGTAGCATGTAAGGTCCCGTAAAAGTTTGAGCGGGTAAAATTATTATCACGGGAACCACGGAAGCTAGAAGGCTGAAATTTTGTGGCATGCCCTCCGCCCATGTGCTACCCAGAAAATCTAAATTCAGCTTTCCTCTGCCCGCGGTTAACATGTACGGCCTCGTGAAAATTTTTGATGGGTAAATTGTCTTGGTAATGGCGGAATCTATGAAGCTGAAATTTTAGGTAATGACCCCCTGCCCACGCTCGACCTTGCCTATTCAAGTTCAGCGATCCCGCGCTCTCGTATATCACCTACGGCCTCGTGAAAGTTTTTGTGTGGAAATTATTATCTCGGGAACCATAAAAGCCAGGAAGCTGAAATTTTATGGTAATGTCTTCTGTCCACATACAACTTTCGACGGGGAAAATTATTATCTCGGGGACCGCGGAAGTTGAGAATCTGAAATTTTAAGATGATCTCCTATACAAACTTACGACCTCGCAGATTTGGACTCAGCCTACGCGCACCGCTGGTACCACGTTCAACCCCGTGAAAGTTTTGACAGAAAAATTATTATCTCGTGTGCGTGAAATTTCTAGTGAGAAATTCCCCAACTTAAGAACCAGACAAAATTTCAACTATTTTTGCGCAGACTAAAGTACAAAACAGTGAAAATCATTAGCAGGCAATCGTTCAGTGAACGGAATTGCACAAAACGCATGATCGCACCGATTGCACTGGTGTGCGCCTCTATTTTTTTTTGTTTGTTTTGCATGGTTCAATCTATCACTGGTGCGCATGAGAAGGGAGATGACTACGTGGACAGCTTCCGATGAAATAACATGGTACACTTCAAGAGCAAGGGGTACTGGCTGGTGCCTTTTTTTGGGCTGATATGTGAGAGCCCGACTTATAGGTGCATCCCAGGAACACCGGTCTTCACACTGATTATACATACCATCTTGATAATTTCAGCACTTTGACTAGCATTTCCTTCTCCGTTCTGATCCTCGCCCGATAGTTCCTGTACTTCTCTCTTTTCTGAGGCCGCTGCAACTATGTTCTCTCCTTCACGTGCTTGAATAGCTAGCCCTTTAATTGCTCTGTATTCTTCGCAGTGTTTTTGAAATCGGGATGTGCTAAAACGAATTATTATTACCGGAACTAAAGTAATACTTTTTTTGCAGAAGCGTTAAGTGTAGATGTGCGACGATTGCCAGTGCAAGAGTTCCTCCAACGT